TTTTATTTTATTTTATTTTATTTTTTTCCCCTTTCACTATCAGGAAAGCTGGAAATGTAGGGTGCAGGTGGGAGACCTCTGGCATCTTCCCCATCTACAGCACAATTCCCAAAATAATAGCAGCTGGCAACAGAAACACCAGGACAGGGAGTGTGTGTAGCAATGACCAGCTCTGTGGTTTCCATTGTGTCAGTCGCTGCTTGTGACTTTTGAAAATGGCAATCTTGCCTTGAAGATCTTTTTATTTTCTACTAACTTTGGCATTTTTTGCACTGATGGGATCATCTTATTTCTGAAGAGCAGATTTATTTTTTCTTCCCCACTGATCTGTTACACTGGCTTTTTGCTGCAGCTCTGTAGCTGTTTGGACAGCTTCTGAAGAAATCTGATGTGTGAAAAATAATGTAATGAAAAGATTCTAGAGAATGCATAGATATTCATAGCAAAATGGCAGGTTTTATTTGTTTTAAGCTTTGTCTAGATTGTGAGTAAGAAGAGTCATAGGGTTTTTTGGTCTTAAAGTTTTTTTTTTTTTTTTTGAAATGCCTAATGCAAGTTAAACAACTTATTGGCATTTTCTGTTCAAATTAGTACTATTTTTGTTGGAAGAGGAGACTATCTAGGACTACCAAAGTCTACTTCCAAATTCTGGAGTAGGTGCAGTTTGTGCAGAATAAGGCCATGTAAATTTGTGTGCTTAGTTAAGAATTAACCTGTCTTTTGTCCTTGTTGCTGTCTGTTGAACAGACATTTCTGCTTTAATCTTGCCTTGTTGTGAGATGTACAAACAAGATCTTGTTAATTTTTATTGCTAGTTAAAGTGCAGATGAGATTAATATTAAATGTTAATCAGCCTTTATATGTAGTTGTATTGTGAAAACTATTGTGAAATTGGGATGTTTGGCCGGTGGCTTTCTCCTGCTACACTAAGTTTAGATAGAACTGAATTGCATGCAATTAAGTGTTAGTCATGCTAACATTAAATAATGCATATTAAAATGTTACATGATGCAGACTAATGGTTCCTTGTCTTGAATAACTGCTTTGTAGTGGTGATACAGGAAGCTCATGTTTGAAAACCAGTGGCTTAATAGTCACTCTTGTTATCAAATAGAGGTTTTAATTGGAAAAATGAGATAATAATCACTTGTCATTTTTTGATTTCCATGAGGCATCAATCAAATGGGCTAGAGCATAGGGCAGTAAAGCAATTTAAGTTTTGTTCTGTGTTCTGCATGTAACTGAGACCAAGGTTTTAGAAAAGATCCACTAATTTTGTGTGGTTCTGTAATTTTGTCCTTGTGTTCCTAATATTTGGGGTCTAAATGCACAAAAATGCTAGTATTCTCAGTTCTGGTCAGTGCAAATGAACATTTGGCTGCTAATCAGTGTCTGAGTACTGTGTTCTGCAATTGCTAACATCCTGGATATTAGTCCTATGTAAGAATTTTTCTTTTGTAGAAAGCAAAATTGCAATCCCATTCCTGGGCAGGGAGAAGACTTTTCTTTGTGGAGTTCTCTAGAAGTTTGTTCACGAGCATGTGAAGTAACATCTCTATAGCTCTCCTTTTCCTGTGACCATACTCACTGTTTACCTTTAAAAAATGAGTCTTTCAGACACGCCGTACTCTTCAGACTGAAAGCCTGAGAGGTTGTGTGTGGAACCTGAGTGATTTTACTTGAAAGTCTGGCTAGTATCCCTGACCTCTCAGGTGGGATACTTGTTTCTTGTGGGCACTTACACTGGAAACGTGTTTCTACTTCTGTAGAAGTACCAGAACTGTGAAAGTGTGAGTATTTCCTCCTTACACCAGCAATAATGAGTTTCTGTTAAACGTCTGCAAACAAGTGAAACAGTCCATGAGCCCTGTTACAGTTGTGGCTTATCAGAGTGAAGACATTTGTTTTGGATTAGCTTTTAAAATGGCATAAAATAAAATTGTAGTTTCAAAATGGGTAAGTTCCCTGTGTGGGTTAAAAACTATCCAAGGTGTGAGAAATCAGTAAATACAGTAACCTTACCAGTTTGGGCTCAATTTCCCACGTTTCTCTTCTGCTGTAGCGCAGTTTCTGTTTCTGACGCGAAGATGTTTCTGTTAGAAATGAAGCGGCCTTAGCTAACTAGTCATGTGTCTGGGCCTGTGCTCCTGGAAAGCTCCCTTGGACTTGGTTTGGCACAGTAAATTGCTTCTGGTTCTTGGAGATTATTGCAACAGGCTGTGTTAAAGGTGGTAATTGCACTGATTTGGCATAGTCATGTTATGAGACTTGTGCCAGAACGTGGTTGCACATGGCATTGCAGTGGCCAGGATGATACAGATCTTAATGGAATTCCCTTCTATTAATATTTTTTTTTAAGCTGCTGTTCAAGCTGAGCTCTGTCTTTATATATCTTCGACCCCTATTCAGAGTTTTTTCAAAGTATAGTTAAAAAAAAAGAAATAAAATCATCATGCAGCAAGGTCCCAGCTAGCTTTAAACTTGTTGCCTTGGTCCTGGTAGGAGAGAGTACCGTTCTCGGCTCCGCAGCGTGGCTGTCTGTGTGGGATACGCAAGTGCATCTGAAGGAAAGGACCACATTTCCTTTTTAGGTCAATTACATATTTCCAAATCTTTCAGGGTGACAAGAAATTAACGCTGTAAGCCTTACATGGTAGCTTTTCACAGGGAATGCTGTATAAATGAATATTTTAATTTTTTTTTCTCTGCAGGGATTTTGTACTGATAGAAAACTCACTGTGGTCCTCTGACCAGCCCCTTCTGCTTCCATCTGAGAGAGGAGAACTGAGCCAGTGGGAAAGAGACTTCTGTTGGTACTGCGATGCTGAGTTCTAGCTTGACCACTGTGAAGAGTCTTCCTTTGAAGAAGAGACTCTGTTTACTGCTGAAACTCGTGTGCTTTGTCAGCTCAGTGTTAATATTCTGTGAATTTTTAATTTATTATGTGGTAATTTTTCAATGTCGATGGCCAGAAGTGAAAGGTGGAGCTCACAAGGGTGAAAAAGAGACTTCAACTTCAGTCCTAAAGGCCATAATTTTAGCTGATACTCACCTACTTGGTGAAATCAAAGGACATTGGCTGGATAAACTAAGAAGGTAATAATTATTTTTTTGAATAGTCTCTGTCCTGGTTTTAGTTCTTAGTAGTAGCTGATGGAACAGATGTTTAAAACCAATGTTGTGGTACTTGTCAGAAGCGTGCGTGCTGCCTCTCACTTGCCTATCTGGATCAGCACTGGATAATAAACCAGTGTTGAAAGGTTAGTGAATGGGACTCAGTGAGGCAGGGCAGTCTCCAGTGTTGGGGTGGTATGTGGGTGCAGTTGCCTGAGCGTTTTCGCTGGGTCAGACAGTCTTTTCCAGTGTGTAACTATTTTATAGAATGCCTTAAAAATGAGCCGTTTGTCTCTGTAGTAGAAGAACTGATGGCAAAATCACATTTAAAGGCAAAGATAACCAATCCTATGCCTAGAAAGCCATGCTCTTCCTGTTAAAAAAAAAAGTAGAATGCTGAAAGAGAGTACTAATTCTACCGTGATACAAACATTATAGACTTCTGCTGCAGAAACAACAGCATAAAAACATGTGCAAGAATTCACTGTTCCAATTAATTGCTGTGTAATGGAATGGTAATGAATAAAAACAAACAGACTGGTGTTACTTCTTGCATGAGTTGGTCGTGATTGTATTGTGGTGGAATTATCAGCCAGGTAAGATGCACCTACTGTCCTTAAACCTGATTTATAAGTATATAATTGGAATTTCATGTTACACTTTCAGTGTGTAGGAGCCATCTTCCCGTTCCTGCCAGGCTGTGTTTGCGTATTCAGAGCTGAGGATTCAGAAATTAGGCAGTGATGACTGGGTATGTATTTTCCTTTCAGGGAATGGCAAATGGAGAGATCTTTCCAAACTGCCTTATGGTTACTGCAGCCAGATATTGTTTTTATTCTGGGAGATGTCTTTGATGAAGGAAAATGGAGCTCACCTCAGGTATGACTTCAACAGCTCTCTTATTTCAAAAAATGAGGATTTCTTGAAGGAAATGGATGGCAGAAGAAAGCAGACTAGGTATGCAAGGCTTTATTTAGTATTACTATAGTTGTCCTACTGGTAGAATTTCTAGTGTTATGAGTTGAAATGTTGTGATTCTCCTTATATTTTGGTAGTATCTTGGCACTTTTCCTCTTCCTATAAAACTTACGAAATGTAAACATCTCAGGAGTGTGTGCTTCTGTATTAGGTGCTAGTGGTCCCCCTTGATACTGTTGAACAGCATTAATTTCTCCATTTGTTTTTTTCATGTAGGCGTGGGCAGAGGATGTCAGGAGATTTCGGAAAATGTTTAGGTATCCGCTTTCTACTGAGCTCGTGGTTATCGCTGGGAATCATGACATTGGATTTCATTATGAGTAAGTCTTGTCAGTGAAAGGAGTGCGCAGGTGCCGAGAATGAAACATCCTCATGCATACAGTAACTGCTTTGGTGTCTGAGTGACCTCTTGTGGGTTTATGCAGAAAGTTTTGATCATAACCAAATTAGAGGGATTGTAATTTAGAGCAAGATCTTACAAGGTATCCATCTGTGCCCAGTGCACCCTAGGAATACATTTTGGAACAGTTTTCAGGCTACTTTTGTGCTTCTATGTGAAGTTGTTCAGAGCTGGTCTTTCTGCACTGGCAGAGAAGTCCTGAAGCTGCTTTTCCTCGTGTTGGGCCTCTTGTCTGAGCACGTTCCCTTTCCCATCATCTCCGCATAGAAGAGTGTAAGTGCCCTCACTCTACTGTGCTTCTGGAGGATGGCTGTGCTTGCACTGCTGTGGCTGGGACAGAGTACACTGTGGGTGTCAGGGCATCCTCCTGAGTTAGCTGGGTGAATATGTGATCTAGGTGACGGAGCAGCAAGCTGCACGAATGGTCTAGAAACTGTGAAGCAACTCTGTCCAATGATTTACAATGCCAGTTTCTTACCTCAGTTGTATTTCTGCTCTGTGACACAGAATGACTACTTACAAGATAAACCGATTTGAAAAGGTTTTCAACTTTACTTCAGGAAAGCTGATAACTCGAAAAGGAATAAAGTGAGTATGTTTAATTCTTTTTTCAATGTTTAGAGTAGTGGTTACTGAGCTAGCAGGCCTGAGTGGTGAAAACTGAGAACTGTAAGTGGAATTTCTAATGAATTAGTACGGGGATGCTTCACTTAGAGCCTTTTTTTTTTTTTTTCTAAACTTTGTACCTAGCCTGTGATATGTTAAACATCAAACACTTTGCACAAACCTGTAGTTTGATATGGAGTGGAAGCTGTACTTTGAGCTAGTACAATTTCCTTTTAAATGGAAAAGTACTGTGGAGTCAGAATCCAATTCTCTGGTTTGCCTTTTTACTTCCCTGCAGCTGGTAATGACCCATGGCTGCAAACATAACAGAGAATAGGATTCAGTAAAGAAACACAAACAAACCCCCCTCTGTGCTTACAAGTTAAGAGTTTCATTAATTTTAATAACTTCTTTAGTCTGCAGAACTTAACTCTTGTTTGAGGAGTTTGGGAACAAAGCAGTTGCTTGTCCACAATTTTTCCACAGGGTGGGGTAATAATGCACAAGCTGGTTTGGGTTTACAGCAGACCTTGTTGCAGAGCTTGTTCTCACACTTGTGTGTCTGTGGCTGCAGTTGTCTGCTGTCTGCCCTTTTGTTACTTTAAGGTACCATGCAGGAACCTGATGAGGGAAAGCAATAGTGAGTTTGTGGAAAGGCATTTGTCTTCAAACCTCAGATATACAAAGGGAAGACCCACTGCCACTCTGCATTTGGCATGGATGTCATCAGGTTATAATCACTCAGGCAAATGTAAAATTCAAACCCTACAGGTTTACACTGGTTCCCTTAATTAAGCAAACATTAAAAATATTCTGAACAGGCCTAGAAATGGTGTGTCTTTTTGAGGAAGATTATCAGCTTCATGAATGCTCAGTATAATGCTATTGTTTATCATGCAGAGGTGGGATCCTCTAGATATGTATTTCATCTGTTTTAAAAAATAGTTATTAAGGACTATCTCCATGTCCCCTTTGGTAAAACAGCATAGCAGGATTCTTACATGCAGTTGCAGATTGTATGCTTAGTATCATATTAATTAACTAAAATGAGCTGCATTATTAATGAAGTGTTCCCAGATAAACTATTTTATAACAAATCTATGGTATACAAGCAGCTTAATTTGATAAAAGAGTTTGTTTTGACCAGTATCTCTCAAGTGGAGGCATTCAGCTTATGCATGTCTGTAAAACATACTGAATCGAACTGGGGATGTACCTCTTGAGTCCTGAATGACTAAATAGGTATGAACCTTGTGGCAGAAGTTCAGAGCTGATTTGAAAGCTACAGGGAAATGTTTCTCTATTACAAATAAAATCCTGTTTTCTGTGTGAGACCACAAAGTATGAAACTAAGTTTGTTCAGGGTTGCCAGCCAAATGCCAGCCAGTGCTGCTTCGCTTTTCAGTTGTTCTGAAGAAATCAATCAAATATCTAAAATTATGTCTCTGAGGTCTAAAATGTGTGTGGGGAGAGAAGCAAGTTCTCCTGTCTCTTAGAATTCAGCTTAATGGGCTTCTAACATTCCAGTAGTCGCACTTAAGTATCTGCTATAATACAAAAAGAAATCTTGACGTGTGAACATGAATCACAGCGTAGAGTTTATTGTGCAGCCTAAGTAACAGCTGCTTAGAAGGCAGCCTACCAGGTAGAGAAGTGGCTACAGTGCGGATACTCAGAAGAGGATTCATGGCACGTGATGTCAGAAGCTGTTACGTTCTGCTGTTTTGTTGAGCGGTGCCCAACTCTGGAACACTTGCATTTTATAAAATAGTTTATCCCACAGGTGCATGAATAGCAAATGCCTCCCTGTCCTCCCCACTTCCCTCTTCTTTGCCCATTCCCTTGTATTTTCCAGCTTTGTCATAGTGAACAGCGTGGCCATGGAGGGCGATGGCTGTGCTGTCTGCCGTACCTCAGAGGCAAAGCTTGTGGCGCTTTCCCACAAACTGAACTGTTCCCAGCAGGTGAGGCTTTATCGAAGGTCTGCTGAGAGCCAGCAGCTCGGCTGCTGCAATGGGAATACTCATACTGCAGCAACAGTCAGGAAGTAACTCAGACTCTCCTGAAAAAAATCTGCTTCCAATTCAGATTGCAACTTGTTAGTAAATCTTTCTTCTCATTTGCCTCTTACCATTTTTGCTTCACTATTAACTGCGTTGCTCTGCGTTAATGCCGTCTACTTCCTTGTCAGTGCTGCCAGCACACAGTGTCATTTCCTCTGTTCTAAGGAATGGCACAAGTTCTGTAACCTTCCCTTTGACTTCAGAGACATCATAATCCCTGTATTTTTATTTATGCATATTTGTTCTGTTTTATATCCTTCAAGCCTATTCCTTCAGTTTTCTGATTCTAATTGAATCCTGTCTTGATAGCCTAGTAATGTTTTAATTGTAGTATTTTATATCAAATCCAATTGCTTCTTGTATTTCATTCCTCTTCCCTTTTTCATAGGCTGACTGGATGCACAGTAGGCAGCATGACTGACTGGGCTGGCAGTCAATCAGGAAACCAGCTCCCAGTGGAAAGACTGCTAGACTCTAACTGCTCTCTCTCGGGCTGCCCTAAATCTCTTTTGCCTTGTTTGTGCAGTGAGATTCTGCTGTTGTTTTCTGCATTCGGAAAGATTGCAACTGTATTTACAGTGTATATGGAAAAGGGAATTAAAGCACCACCCCTTCCATCCATGGCAGAGGCTCTTAAAAGTTTATACAGTGGACTGTATTTAAACACTGTACTCTGAGCTGATACTGCTTTTCACCAAAAAACCCCTAAACCCCCCCCCCCCCCCCCCAAAAAAAAAACCCCTCTCAAAACCTAGCTGCTTAACCCCCTTCCCCAGCCTCATGTGTACCATACAAAACGTGTGGATTGATTTTATTCACAGAAACCGAATCATTCCAACAAAGGGTGCAGTGATGTGGAAAAGCTTCCAGCTTCAGAACCCATCCTTTTACAGGTGTGTTAGAGGTAGGGTGAGGCAACATGTTGACATGTTTTTAGTGTATTTATGACTGTTCCAGAAAGGCTGGGTTGGTATCAACAGATACTTGCTTTGCTGTCTCCCAGCATTACCCTCTGTACCGGAAAAGTGATGCTGAGTGCAGTGGAGAAGATTCTGCTCCTCCAGAGGAGAAGAACATCCCATTTAAAGAAAAGTATGACGTACTGTCCCAAGAAGCATCACAAAAGGTTTGCTATATTAGGAACTTTAGTATCAGCAGGTGGGCAGGAGGGGGACACAAATATGTGTGTGTGTGTGCGTGTGCATATATATAGATTAAAAAATGTTGTAAAGGATGTTAGCTGAGACAAACAGGCCACAGCTGTTCCCGCTTTAATGAGGCCTTTGAGAGGCTGCTTGTCTGAGCTGCTCCCCCGAGGATCACTGCAATCATGGCCTCGATTCTGCTGGGCTTCCCAGGTACAGGCCATAAGTCCTGGTGCTCTTCAGTCTACTGCAGTCTTGTCACCTCCCATTTAGCACTTGGTACAGTGTAGATTACTGAAAAACCCAGTAGAAAGCCAACTGTTTCCACCACTTTGAAAGCACTGCTTCTGCCGAATTAGTAACTACAAGAAAATATTCCCAGAAAATCTAATGGTCAGTATTTGTTTCCTTCTGCATAAATGTCTCCACTCAAGATTGGCAGTACAAGATTCTCCCTTAGAGAAGAAAACAGCACTGGTCTACTAAACCCAAGGTTTTTCTATTTGTGATGTCAACAGAATGCTATTGCCTTTGTTCGTCTCATATGCACGGCCAAAATAAGTTCCAGTTTTTGAGATGAGGGTCAAATGGGTATGCTTACTATTACAATAGCAACACATCTTCCTGGAAAACAGAACTTTACACAAAACACTCTGTGAGAGTACTAGAATTCTCGTAACTTCATTCTGTCAGAAGAAAAAAAAGGTCTTAAGCTCAATTTCTTCTTAGTTATGACGTAATTTTTGTGCTTTACCCTGTTGTATTCTAGCTGATATGGTGGTTTCATCCCCGTTTGATTCTCAGTGGACATACACATAGTGCTTGTGAAGTGCTGCATGCGGGGAAAATTCCAGAAATCAGTGTCCCATCATTCAGTTGGAGGAATAGAAACAATCCTAGTTTCATCATGGTGAGTTTAAATTTTTTTTATTTTTGTCAGATAACTTTCATAAATAAATCAACATGGCAGTCAGCTATATTTTAAAACTGATTCTACCTGTAAAAACAAAAATAAAAAAATTGCCTACCCACCCAACCCACTCAGTACACTGCATCCACTTTATAAAGTACATCTGTGGGAGCCACATGTTCTGTGTGGTACAAAGCAGTGCTGTTAAAGGTCTAATTAGTATCTGGGTACAAGCATCTAACATTTTCTTATAAAGAGGGTGTGTTGTAAACTACTGACTTGTAAAAATAATCAGTATTGTGCACTGAACAGTAGAAAGACTAGTTTGGCTTGGTTGATTTACCAGCTATGAAAACAAGACCGTATCCACCTCAAACTCTTTGCATGGTGATCACGGTTTTCAAACTTGTGCATTAACCGCGTCACACAGTGAAAATGTTTGTCACGTGCCAAGAGGCTGCCCCCGCATTTCCAACTCACGTTTCACACAGTGCGTTGGTTATGCTCTTGCAGGCAGTTCCAGTGCTCAGTACATCCGTAGAGGTAAATCAGTTAGTTCCCCAGTTCAAAAATAAAACAGAACTCCTAGAAACCTGGAGTAAGAAGCAAAACCTACAGTCTGTTTACATAGTCTGTGACTTGGAAGGGGACAAATCTTTCATGGGTTTTTACTGCTGTTGAGTTTAAGCTGCTTAATACACAGATAACCCCGAACTTGAAAATTCATTTTATGCAACTGTTAATAGTTCTTGTTGAAAGTAGTTCTGTTTATTCCATATTCCTGAGAGTAGCTGCCTTCAAACTACACACGCTCTGTGCACATGCCAGGCAGTGCATCTTCACTGCAAGAACAAGAGGTTGGCTAATTAAAGTTGCATCATCTTCACTACTGTTTTAACTTGGCCTCAGTCCGTTGTAAACTTTAATCTGAACTGCAAAGTCAAGCCAAAACGCAATCAAGTTCTTTGTTGTTCGGAATCTGGATTAGCCAATGTGTTTTTTGCAGCAGGTACTGGGTAGGAGGAGGGCTTGTGGGGAGGAAGGGGCACATTCACAAAACCTAACTTTAGCCTGGGAAGGCTCCTTCCCGGTGGATTTACAGGAGCTAAAGTTAGGCTTCTCTTGAAGGCAGATCAGATGAGGAGCCCAGCTCTCTATTTACGCTAGATGGAATATAGGGAAGATTGGCCTCTGGGCTCACGTTGGCCCGGTGAATATTCCAGTTAGTGCCCCGCACCGCAAGGTACGGACTCTTCAGCCCCCTGGGGAAGGCACTGGTACTAGGAAAGTGGCCCCAACCCTTGCCACCCAACACAGAATTTAGAAATTGCAGAACTGACAGGCATGGTGTTTACTCCTGATTCAGAACCCACTGTAAAGTGACAGTCTTCGTTTCTTTTCCAGGGCAGCATAACACCAGCTGACTTCTCCCTCCAAAAATGCCTCCTTCCGTATGAGAGCAGAGTCTTTACTATATACTGTGCAGCAGGTGCTCTGCTTGTAATCCTGATACTAGCTCATTTTCAGCTTCTCACTCCACCATTTTATTTTGCTCAGCATTTAATCAGTAAGCATAAAGCAGTATGAAGAGCCAGACATCTGCATTCAGTCACTGAAATACCAAAGCTGAGAACAGTCAAACATCAGACTATATTCATGCCAGCAAATGACCTAATTTGATTGCTAGTCTGAAGGCAGGTTGCATTTACACATACCATAGAAGTCCTATACAGCTGATATGACTACTACAGGATAAATAATTAACTGAAATGAACGTTTCATGCTGTACAAAAATACTGTATTCTACAATCAAATGAGTCCTTTTCCTGCTATAATTTTTGTATCAAATATGTATATTAAAAGTGTAACTGTACATTATGTAAATCCTATAGCCTCATCACTTATCTGCACTAGTGTCTTACCCTGGTGGAGGCTCACCTGCAAACTGGAAACGTTTCTCTGTTTTATTGCTGCGTGGCCCTTCGAATGTCATACTTCTGTTTGGTAGGGTCAGGCAGAAACTAGGCATGTCAGCACTGAGAGATGTGGATTTCCGTAACTTTTTAGGCTGTCCTAGGTAAGGGACTCTGGTTTGGGACATGAAATCTTCCAGTTCCTGATGCACTAAATTGTTAGCTGGCTACAATTTGCAGCTATTGTTTACCAGAGAAGAATGGGAAGAAGCTCGTGGATCCAGTTAGCTGATACACACTTGAAACCTGCTTAAAGAAAAATTAGGGTGACACCTCAAGCTGCTATTTTTAAAAAGATGTGCTATGGTCAGCTGAAAAAAAAAAAAGAAAAGAGGGCCCTATTGCATCCCAGAGATCTGTGTGGTGAGGGGCCCTCCCGTTGCCAACCTTCTGCAAGAAGGAAGGTCAAATACAGCTGCAGTAACATTACCCTATGCCTCGGCCCTCAGGCTGTGCACAGGCAGGGCCAGGAATGGGCGTTATTTTAGATTCCTGCGGGGCTGCCAAATTCTGTGAACTTACTGTAGAGTCACATTTTGAACAGCAGTAGCTCTTCCACGGGGAGGCCGGGGCTGCCAGCCACAGGCCCCTGCCTGGGTGGCAGCACAGAGAATGTAAAATCTGAGCTCAGCGTCTTCGTGTGCTGTGCATGAGGGAAGAGGTGACAAACCTACTGCTCTCCCCACCCGCCCCACAAAAACCAGAGGGGCTATTTCACACCAGGACCAGTTTGCCTGCTGACATTTCTGCAGAGGCTGGGAGCTTGAACCTGAGCTCCCGGGCTGGGGGTTGTTTGATAGAAAAGACCATCTTTTGTTACTGTTAGCTTATTCCACCCAGCCTTTCGCTTTCTGGGACATATCTGGTGACTAAACTGAACATAGAGATATCAAAGTAGACATGTTTCTGGGAAGAGGAAATGGTCATATCCATGCCATAGGCCATAGTATCTAAAATTGGACTGTTGTTATCATCAAATAGAAACAAGTTCTCAATTTGTCTGTAGTCTGAATTTAAAAAGATGACTGATTGGGGTTGATAACTAATAACGAAGCTTACAGTAAAAAGTTAATCAAACCTGCTGATTTATATGCCAACGTGGGGAATGTGTTAGGTCTTAATCTCTCCCTAAATTTAAGTGGGGAGGAATAGTCCAAAGTGTGGTAAACCACCCTGTAAAGTAATATAGTCTAACACTTCTCTAGGTTTCTGTTATTGCAACTGTAATTTTAGACATTTGTACAGGTTATCTTGGACACAGGAAAAGTATATAGTCACAGACATAAAACACCTATGTATAAAATATAAAGCAGTGTTATAGTTACTAAAAAGGACATGCCTTATTGCTACAGCAATTCTTGCTTTTTATATATTGTACTGTACCACAACTTGTTTTGAGAATGTCATTTGCATAAATTATTCAAGTTTGAGAAATATTCACACATTTTGATTCTACAATATTTAAAATAAAACAATTTTCTAATGTGTCTCTTTATTAAAAGAGAAATAAAAATGTCATCTTGTAATTCTCTTAGGCCAGACACAAGGGTTTATACACCTTTTTTTTCTTTTTTTTCTTCTTTCTCGCTATTTACTTGCACAATGAAAGCCGCTGTTGGTACAAAGATTGAAGAGCTCTATATAATGGTGCTTTACACATTCACAATCGGTCTGTGCAATTGTGAAGTTTGATGAATGACCAAAGAATTACCAAACATATTTTCTAAATATAAAGGAAAAAAATAAAAATCCTTGGTTCCCATTAAAACAACACCAGGTTGCAATTTGGACACTTGAATAAATTCCAATGTTTTAAAGCTGAGACTTCAAAAGAGAAAGGCATGTTTGCTGCAACATCCGGTGACTGTAATACCTTACTTGGAAAGGTAAGTGGTTAATTTGCATAATTTATAATTTTTATACTAAAGAGCATTTTTATATAAACCAGAAAAAAACCCCTAAACTCTACAGATAAAGTTCTTACCTCCAGTCACTGCTGCAGGTAAGGTTGACATCAAGCTGTACAGCGCAATCAAAAACATACTTACATCTTAGCTCATTTTACAGGTACAGCCATAATCAAGGCACAAAGATCTTCTACAAGTATTTTTCTTCAATAAAGTTGTACAAAATAATATTACATTTTACAGTCTGTACAATATAATAAACCAGCAGTAAAACAAAAAAATATATATAGGGAGAGGACTCGTTGTCCAAGAATGATCTGAACTAAAAGGATCATTTGTGGACAGCACAAACAACGTAAGTGAGGGTGGTAAATTTTCTGCCTAGGAGCAACAGGCTGAAAAGTAGCTGTAATTCAAATGCCTGAGGTGTGCAGAGACACTGAGCTCCAAAACCCCAGAAAAATTGCTTTGTCTTCACTGTTCCTCTCATTATCTACTCTACTTCCTGTGCCAATAACGGCTTAAAAGAGGAGGTCACTTTATCAGTTGACCTGCAACTCAGAAATGCTAAAAACTGTGACAGAGTAATAAATATTGTGGTGCTGCTACATTGTGTGTCTACTTCCTCAACAGTATTTAATAACCTGATACAAAGTGCATTAATCTTTTTTTCACCCATCAAGTACTCTTCAATGTCATGTTAAAAAGGAAACCCACACAGAGGGATAGGTATGACTTTAGTGTCATCCAGCTGACATACCAGTTTGAACTGATGTTAACCTGCTGGAAAAAATTTAGCAGGTCGCCTTCAGTTTAAAAAAACAAAACCTAAGGGAACAGAGGTAGCCAAAGGGCTTAGTGGAATGATGAAGAAGTGGCATGTCAAAATAAAGCACAAAAATAGTCCCAAAAAGCATGAAGGAAAACCAACCCAAACTTGCTTCAAATCAGCTTTAAGGTTAAATAATTAAAGTAAACAAAGTGAAGAGACTGACTTTTCTATAGTATATTCTTCCACCCTGTGTGGGGTAGTATCAAGAGAAAGAGTAAGGAGCAAAGAATTTTAAAACCACAGGTTCCACGGTGATTCCCCTCACAAGAGTTCGTACTGGCGGAGATGCATCCTTTGAATGATGTCTCGACAGTCGTTGAACACTCTGCGGATATTTTCTGTGTCCACTGCACAGGTAAAGTGTGGGTAACAATAATGCCTGCCGTCGCCACTCGCCGTACTTATCCTCTGTGGAAACAGTGAGGAAAAAAAAAGGGTCAGGCGCTGTGTCACGAGAATTTTCACATCTCAGGGACCTATGGACACACGGAGTACCAAGAAACCTGGCAAATTTTGTATAGAAATGATTAAAAATAAAACAACGGAAGGTCTGTGATCTGGTCCAACATGAGTAACATGATCAAGTTAATGTGAAACAAAGATCAAGTTACGGCTAATGTTACGGGGTCAGTATGTGGCTACTTTGTAAGAGCCACTGATGCACAAGCTATTATCATCTGCACATCACTGCGCAGCTAAGCTGTGCTGCTGACAGCACTGCGGTCAGTGACACCCAGCTGTCCCAGGATCCCCCCCTTCCCCTCTTTTTGGTGCCATCACGTGGCAAATTTTTGAACTCTTGCTTTAAATCAGCAACACAAAACTGAAAACCTCCCAGCTCTGAAGGTAGCAGCAGCAGAGAACAGCACCCTACTGCTTCTGCTGCTTGAAGCTGAAGGCCCCTGAAGTTACCTTTACTTTTAGTGCACCTGTTAAGCCAACTGAGGACTTGGTATCATTACTGAGACCAGAACATGGTGGGATTACCACCAGAGTGGATGGGTTCCCACAGAATAATAAAACATGCACAAATCCAGTAAATATCAGACCACACAGAATTAAATTTTTGCAAAGCTACTGCACAACTTTTTAGGTTGCTAACTTAAGTGAAGCTCCAGCATCACTTCAGCTGTGGTTATCTTGTTAAAATCCCCTAGGATCTTAAAAAAATACATAAAAAAAATTCTTAATTTTGTTGTGTATTACTACAGGACTGATAAATATAAATCCTTTCTAGATTATTATCTTGAAGAATAAATATGGAATGTCATGAAAGCAGGAGGTCAGTTCTTGGGTAATAATTTTGATAAATCTTTTCTGAATTTTATTACAAATTATATTGGCTGAATAATAAAAGACAATGTTTTCTCTCTCTCTGGCTACACTATATAATTCAATATAGTGGTTTATTTTACATGTAGGATCGAATTTTATTACAAATTATATTGGCTCTCTCTCTGGCTACACTATATATTTTCAATATAGTGGTTTATTTTACATGTAGGATTGAACTTTTAAATACCTGCAGGTACAGATACGCAAAACTATAGCCATTTAGAAGCCGTACTTTAAATAATTAGATCAACAAGAAATTGCAGATTTTTGCAGGTAGCTTAGGTAACATTAGATATTCAACACTAATTAAAAAGGAGGCATTTCATACTTACCTTCTTACTAAGCTACACTGAATACCTAGTTCAAGGCTTACACTCACGAAAAATACTGATTTAATAATGTATCCAATTGATGGGTAAGTTGTTCAAACCATACCTGAAGCATGTACACTAAACAATAATTAAATGAGGAAAAAAAAAAAAAAAGCTTTACAAATTACTGCAATGGTGGCAAGATGCTGAAACTCAATTAACATGTAGATTTTATTTGTCTACCTGAAAAATCTCCCAAAAGGGTCTGGGGAGATCTTTGTTGTCTTGCGAAGTCTGGGGGAAATCGGACCCTTAGGAACCCGAGGGCTGAAAGGACAGTGGTGTGCACGGACATTCAAGATGATACCAACTTGAAAACAGTAAGAAAATGCAATGGTGTTTCTATTTTTGATACAATAGCTGCTTGACTTTCTTTCCCCCTGCAGATCCGTTCTATATCAGTGCTATAATGCTGCCACTCAGCTGCAGCAAGGAAAGACCACTTACTAAACTTTTTTAAATTGGACTCAAGCCTCGGAGGCGTCCAGCCCTGGCCTGTCGCAGGGGTCTGTCTCTGGCTGTTTTCCTCTGCGCCAGCTGAGACCTATGTCTGCACGTGCAGCCCCCAGCTGCTATTGCCACACTTGCCCTCAGCCCTTCCAGCAGCACGGCCTCAGTGCGCTGTTAACAAGCGCGCTGGCATCTCCACACGGTCTGCACACAGCAGTTCTGTGCCGTAAGGGTGTGACAGGGGGATGAGGCTCCCGCTCTGATGGGCTCTTTCTAGGACCAAACGTTACACGCTGTCAGTGAGGGACAACGTACAAATGCTTTCAGTGCCACCCAGATGTGGGCAGGAGGGAGTACACCACCCTACTGACCACACTTCAATCTTTTTCTTGTGTTTCGCTAAAATAAGAAGTGTTCTTTCACTAAGTGTTCACTTGCGTTTATCATGCACTGATTCCACTAATGTCTACGACAGTTAGCTGCCCACAATGTTCTGGTGACACCTAGTTACATGTAAAGCATGTCAAAGGACGTGTTTTCAAAATGTCAGGTTTTTTTTTTTTGGTTCCCTGACAGCTCTGTCATTCTCTCATTTTACGATAAATGCAGTATTTTCACCCCTGCTCAAAACTCATTGAGAATAGTAGTGTAGCACCAGTAGCACCAGTTCAGAGAGGAAAACCAATATCCCCTGGGAAGCAACAAAAGAACTCTTCGGTTTCCCAGATCCACTTCCCTATGACACCAGCGGGAGTATTTAATACCAGTGTCCCTATGCTGCGGGGATCAGCACGACAGTTTTAAGCAAGGAGCCAAACACACAATTCGAGGGGGCCCAGTTGGTGTGTGAACAGCAGCTCCTTCACCTCCCAGATTCAGAGGGGCCATGCCACTGTTTGAACAGGGGTTACCTATACACCGGGGATGTGTTAAAACAAAACAGCAGCAGCTGCAAGAGCCCTCTGGACAAAACAGCAAAATGGGGCTGGGGAACAGCCTAAACAAGGAGTGCATGAGCACAGGGACTCTCTGAAGAGCCTGGGAAGGGAAAGAATGTGCCTGAGCTGAAGGAGGGATAGTTTCTGACAAGACAGGTTCTGCCAGCCCCCACCAAAAACCAGCGATGCTGAGCCTCCAGGCCTGCTGCCAAAGCCCTCACAGGCCACAGGCCCTGGCACCAATTCTGAAATCAGGAGCCAATGTATTCTTCCCCCCTAATATTCATACACTACCGTGTAGCAATAGCTGTTGGAAACATGTTCAGATTTAACCTCCTTCTAAAATTCTTCGAATCACATGCTTTGAATTTGCCAGTACCAGTGCCTACAGCCAGGCTGAGTTTTAAGGCGTGTAGCACCACGATGGTGAGTTTCACCCATGTCCACACCTCATCCAGACCTGCTACCATGATAAAGATCACACTAAAGCTTGTAAATGAATAAAACCAGATTTCTCTGAATTGTGTCTGAAAACACAAGAGAGCGGAACAAGGAAAAAGTCGTAAGTGAAGAGACTTGGAAAGAAATGCATAAAGCAGAGCCAAGAGGCCAGAGGTAGAAAATACACATCTTTTCTTCCTTGCACCTGGCTAAGGCCATCAGATCCCCCCCCAGTCTGCATGCTGAGCTTATTTTCCCTGGACCCTTTGTCCCCCCCTTTCTGAAATATCAGCCTCTTGTGCCTGATCCCCTGAAAATAGAAGTTGCTGTTTCTACTTGGCCTTTGCCCACCCTCGCCCTCCCAGCTGGGCCAGTGCATGGCCTCTGTCGCTCAGTGCACACGCAGGCTGTTCAGACCATTTATGGGAGGAGAAACACCTCTTTGCAAGGCTTCCATTTCAAACAGCCCAAAAGTTCAAAGCAACTGTTCAAATGATTAGGTCCCTCTGCTTCTTTATGCTGACAAACTAACCACAAATCCAGGAGAGACACATCACTGCTTATGGAGGAGATGCTCTCTGCCAGGCCATGGCAGTCATAGGGAAAGGGGAGAAAGCTTTTTCGGCCCTGATTCAGCCCCACGCCCGAGCCCTAGGGACAGCCCAGCAGCTGGTAGGTTCTGGCCCAGCCCAAACACCTCTCCTGGCCCCGGTACCCGCGGCTGCAGAGGGCCTCCAGAGCTGCACGGTGGTTTTTTATGTGGTTGCAATGCCTACACCTCCGCCCCTCCCTACCCGCTTCGTAGGTGGCCTCCTTCTATGATGCCAGTGAGTCATAGCAGGTAAGGACCTCACCCTTGATGTGTTTTGGGTTTTTTTTTAATAATGAAAATAGATAAAGGTGGGGAGCTTCACCCTAGTTTCCCCATAATTTGGTTCTCTTGGACTCTCCTTCCAACTGGATACCATCACCTGCTTCACAGCATTTCAACATTACCACAAGAGAGATTTGGCTTGAATTGTTTTGTTGTGGTTTTTTTGTTTGTTTTTTTTGTAACTGATGTTAACACAGTGCCATCTGACATTTTTCCTCAGAATCCGGAAGGTTAAGGCGGTGAATGGAAATCCCCAAAGTTTGAACACAGTTAATTGCTTCTTTCTTTCTTGTTGTATCAACAGCTGTAAATCCTAACAATACTTGTAAATCCATAATGAATTTAAAATTCTTAATTCTAATGATTAAATTTGTTCTCTCAAACAGCCCCATACAGTTTCTACCAGAAGGGCAAGATGGATGAGCTTTGGTTTTGGTCTCCCGTTACTGCCCTGTACTGTGGGAACGACTCAGTATGAGTGACGCTGTAGGTGATACTGGATTAAGCCCTCTGCTCCTGATAGCAGTGCTGGGCTGTGATTGTGTGCTTGATAACTGCTTGTATCTGCGAAATGTAGACAACCCTTCTTCAGCTCCAGCTTTGGAGGAAATTTTAATTGCACAAATAACTGTGACCAGGCAAGGAAACTTTCTTATGATTCCTCAGCGGGGCCATGACACCAGTCTTAGTGTGAGACAAACCTCCTAACTGGCACAACAGAGATCTTACTTAAGGATAAAATCTGCTTTTTTGTTCATTTCCTCTTGCTGGCTGGCCACTGACAAAACCCTTGAGGGAATACAGGATAAAAAAAAGCCTATTTGCTTAAACATGGTCTGGAGAGATACAGAGAATAAACAATAAAGGCAACAGCCAGTAGCATCTTACAGGTAAAGACAACCAGAGACGCTCTCACTAACTGGCAATGGAAACAGTGCTCGGCATTGTCCCACTGTGCAGACAGTGAGGCTGCTGCCACCCACACCCAACCCAGAATCAAGCAGGCAGGCACATGACTGTTTCCGCACTAGCGCTTACTTGCTGTGTGACACTCTGCAGGGCAGGTGACTTTATATAAAATGAGCATAAAAATGTGCAAGCACTGGGGAAGGTTCTGCAAGATAGGCAGCTGAACAGAATTAGGGAATTGCCAGACATTCTCCTCTCCTTCTAGCTTTCTGCAAAAACCCATCAGTTTTCCCTAAATAAACTGTGCCATCTGCCAGTATTTCCTATGATAGAATCACACATAAGATCAAAATTACTCACTAAAAACTCATCCCGGATGAAGAACTTGGCTCTTGTGACTTTGGGGTCTTCTCCTGCATCTGGTGTTGCTGTTCAATTAAAAATAAATGACATCAGAAACATGAAAAGCAAGCAGTCATCTACTTTTCATAATAAAAGATTTAAGTAGTCCTTCAATACAGAAATTAAAATGTTAAATATCCACAGGAGATTCCTGATAGGTAATTCTAAAATAGAAAGGAACTGTAAAATCTGAAATAAACTTCTATGCCTTTAACATCTTTGAGGGACCTGAAAATCGCTGAAATTGTTGCAACAATGTCATAAAGAGGCTTACTCACATACACAAGTTTGTTCACATAGATTAAAACAAGTGGGAGTTAGGGTTTAACTTTTATAAGAAAATACAATTAGAAAAAGAAGCTGAGCTTTTCAGCTTCTGCTGGCAGGAATTTGGGTTTAAAAATGGTTAGTCCAAGATTACACTTGAAAAAACCAATGGCATCAAAAGATCTTTTAATATATATACATTATTTCCAGGACTCAAGTCAGCAGAATACTTAAGATATACTGTCCATCAAGGAGCTTTAGATTAAATTACTGTTGAGTGGGAGACTCATTGGTCAATAGTGTTTGTCAGCAGATGAGGTCATCTCTATCTAGGCCACGTAACAACTATAGTTACTGCAAGTGTGAAAAACAATACAGTGAAGAGATAACCTATTAATTTGCCTTCAGCGTGATTTCTTCTCATCTAAGACACCAAATCAGATGCTTATAAACACACTATGGCAAAGGGAAGAATTTATCAGAATATGGAACATATTTCTGACTCTTATCTATAGTGCTAGGGCCAAACACAGAGCAGCAGCACAATCAGCAGCATCTTAAGAGTTCAGCGCTGCTGTTCTTAAATAACATCAGCTGAAATTAAAGAATAAATGAACAACTACAGGTTAAGAATAGAGAGCTGCTTCATGTGTGAATATTCTGGATCACTCTGGATATCTGCTGTGAAATCTTGCTGAGAAAGACCAAAAGCTACTTTATTCTGACAACTGGCTTACTATAAAAAAAGTTGAAAATTTACCCAAACTCTGTATAAAAGTGGTGTATGTTTGGGAGAGGGAAATTTGGACGATGGTGACAGAAGCTTTCTTCTGAAAGCCCTCAGCATTTTAAAATTGGTGCCAGGTTAACTCAGATTTTAGGACAGTTTATTTATCCTCTCCATCTGAAACTCAGCATCACACTCCTGAAATTCCAGATCTGAATGAAAGGTGAAAATAGCTTACTGCTACCTTCACGTCTATAACCTAGGCTGTTGTTGATGTTTGGGGAGAATGAAAGCCTTTTCTGACCAGTGGCTGCAAGCTCTATGCCAGGGGCATCACCTGGGTAAGACAGAGGTTAGTGGTCAGAAAGTGAAAGTTCTACCACTTCTGCTAAACACAGACTCAGGATATCTGGGCAGCCCTCTGCCTGGTATAAAACTGGTGTAATACCAGTGTTTACTTATGCAATGTGTTATTGTGGCGCAGGAATCATTGTACTTCTTGAAATGATAAGAAAATGAACCCATGCTGATAGCTCCATTGTCACAGCTCTCTTTGTATTTATTAAGGTGGTTTTCCTCCATTAAAGTTTCCTTGCTGGGTTGCTGGGCTTCCCGTCGTATTTGCAAAGGCTGAAGTTTACAGTGTTGGGAGGATGCAGAATGGCCACAGAATAAGTCTAATGAATCCCTAGCAAAGTCCAGCACTGCAGGTGGCCTAGGCAGAAGCATCTGGCAGGGGAGAGATATGCCTGGCAGCTCTGCTTTCCTGGACTGTGGGAAACAGGGGGAGGTAGGCACTCTGGAGCCAGTCCCTCACAGCCCCCTCGGCAGCCAGAGCCCCTTCAGACCCTGCTTGTGCTGGGTCACCTCTGAGCTACGTGTAGGCAACACACTCCTTACCTGACCAACAGTTTGCTTTAAGGAATGGTGTGTGCTTATCAATTTGTGTGTCTGTGAGAGACACGCAGAGAGAGAGGAACTACAGGTGGTTGGGCTAAGCCAGCAGGTCCAGTCCCTGTGTCGTGAAAAACCTTACCATCCTCAGGTACAGTATAATGCGCGTATTCAGGAAAGTAATCTTCGATTTTTGATTTCCCTGCCAAGACTTTTTCAGCCAGCATGTCCTGTTTATTCAAGAACAAAATGATAGAAATGGTCCGTAACCACCTGTCAAAAACAAACCAAATGTTTGTGTTATCTCTAACACATTAATCAAAGAAAACATTATAACTTCAACTGAAAATTTACTGGCTATTCCTGCGTGGACAGAGAGCGAAGGGTGTGGAACATGCTTCAGCAGAAAAAAAAAGATGACTTAAATTATTGTTTTGATTGGGTTGCACCTGTGCTGGTGGGTATATTTACAAGATCTGTAAATACATTTATAAAAACTGCAGTAGACATTGCTGAAGGGACCAGTCTTCAAATACTGTTTTCTACATTATCCTTTTGATATCAATCTGGGAAAATAATGACTTTTCTGAAAGCACCGCAGTCCAGAATCAGACATTACTGTCCAATTTGTTTGGTTTTGCTGAAGTAAAGAGAAAAAGGCTGTAAAGCTGCCTTCCCTCAGACTGCTCTGTCTTAACTAACAGTTCATCCACACAGATATCCTGTCTTTTAGGGTGGCCTGTATGACATCTGACGAATCAAAAGAAAAGAATCTCTTTTCTTCCTCAACTAGTACCTAGCCATCACTCTGATGATCTGCCTTTGGGACATGCACTTGACATTTTTCCTCACTCTACCTTCCATCACCTCTCAGTGCAGAGCATCCTGAGAGTTATGTGCTGGAAACTCTTCATTACCTTATTTTGTGTATCATTTTTACTTATTCTCTGTTAGGAACACACTCAGATTGCTATTTGGTTACGTACCTACAGTTTACATGCAGTGTGGTAGAATGGCAATTTAATGGCAGTTACAATTAGATTAGATCCAAAATATGATCCCTCAAGGCAGAGAAACCGTGTGCTCTCAGAGACGGGCCTTATGAGAGTAGCTGCCCACACAGGTATCAAGCGCAGTGCCAGCTGTCAATCACATGCAATGCCAACAGCTAGCTGCTCCTGCTGCTGCGTTTGAGGAGGAGATGAAATGTAATCTGGAGGATGCTCTCAGCCATGGCCAAGCAGCACAGTGACACCAGGAAGGGGTCTCCCCTGCTTCCCTTGTGGCAGCTGGCATAGGGAGCATGCCCTTAGCTATCTCCATGCCCTGTGTCATTTTGGCAGCAGTGGTGAAACACTGCATGCACCGTCCCCACCGGGGAGGGGTATGCACTGCGAGGGCACCCTGCGACCTGCCTCTACTTGGACATCTTCTGAATAAGCAGTCTGAGCATATAGTAAGGCCAGTCCTATTTTGTAAGGAGCTGAACTAAACTGGGGAGGGTGGGTGGGAAATGAGGTATGTTTTACCTGTTATTCCAGATACTTTTGAAAAGGTCCAGGGATTCCCGTAGTCTGTTTGTGTTATTGTCTTCCCTTATTACCATGTTGTAGCTGCTGCAAGCCACAACGAAGATTATAGCCGTGACATCTGGGCAGAGCACACAAGAGAGAGAAAGCAGAGAGAAAAGAACATCTCCGTTATCTCAGCACATACTCCTGAGCTAACACTGCCATTACTCCCCCAAACTGCCCAAAAAAACCAAACACTGGACTTCTGTATTAATGACAAAATATGTGTGAATATGAATACTAAGCTGCTCTCACCTCAGAGAAAATATTTTTACTTACCATTGAAGCATTGGATCCATTTTCTTCTCTCATCTCTCTGGCCACCTACATCAAACATGCTGTTAAAAAGCCATAGGATGTTACATCACTTATGTGCACTAGGAAAGTCATACGAAGCATGCAGCACGAGGGTTCATTTTAAAAATCTGACAGCCCTCAGGACAGTGGTAGTAAAACGCATCCCGAAGGGGAGAGAGATCTGCTGATGCTGCTCTGCATGTCAGACAGCTGCACCTGCCTCGCTCTGCCAGGAGAAGGCTACTGAACCCACAGAATGAGAAATACACTCTTTTCCGAGGCAACTGTTGGCCTTTCCAGCCCACAGAAGTGCATGTGATGTGTAAGGTTGAACATACTGTACTATAAACAAGGACAGGTTTCGGCATATTCTGAAGGGTGGTGGGGAGAGTGTGCTTCTATCAGGAGGAGGACATGGGGGCAGCTCTGCCCCATCAGCGCTGCCACCTTTTGGTGCAAGAACCAGTGAGAGGAGGCAACCCAACAGTGGCACAGCATAAAACTTTGAGAAACACAGAGCTTGCAGCCCTCCAGAAGAACGGAGACATTTAACTCTCCTTGTCCCACTGTAAAAAGTGTGACTCGTGGCAGGATACCCACTGACTTCTGTGAGATCTTATCCCCAAAAGTATTTTACCAGTTTACAGTGCTATACCAATGAGCCAGTTAGTAAAAACAGTCACAGACAACCCCACAACAGAGCATCACTAATACACATAACTAGTATCAGCTCTTTTTGCAAAGTATGAAGCAATTTTACCAGGACCTATGGAAAAAGAGCTGAGAAACTAAACCAAACAAAAAAACCCCAAAACAACTCCCACCCTAAATCTACTACACCAAGCACACATGAGCACAGACACCTGAAATAAGCTGTTAAAAATTAGTATGATAGTCATAAATTATTACTAATAGACTTACTGGAAATTTACTTTATCTACTTGAAATCTTGTTTCAAAAATCCCTGATGTCAACACTCTGCATCTTAATAGGTCCTGGAAATGAGAACACAGAAACTGATGAGCAAGGCCTTTTTCTAACCTCATTTTGTTTTTAAAAGCATGCAATATTATTTTCTATGAGAAGTCTTAAAATGTTCCATTTAATTCAAGTTCAATCAGACTTGTTGGTAAACCTGGATTTGTCCATGCTGACACAGTGGATATATGCAAATAGCATCCCTGCATTTATTTTGTGCATGCTCAGAAAGCAGGAGACCCTACACACATTCTCCTTACTGCCCACTGAAACCTGTTATTGATGGTCATACAATTTTGTATGTGATGTGGATAATGAATTCTGAAGTTACATAAAACTAAGAAAAATGTTATTCATGTTGTAAATTCAAGTATTCAAATGTCAGAAAACTACAGATTTACAGTTGCCCAGGCAACCTTAATTCTGCCCTCTTTGATACTGAATGAGACAGGAATTCTATCGAAATAATAGCCTGTGACTGAGTAATTAAAGCTCTATTACAGAAGGGAACAGAATTTAGGTTGTACATAAAACTGCCATTTCTTTCTTATTTTTCAAACTAGCAATACCTTATAACTTAAATAACATTCTTCTAATAATTAAAAAAATAGTAATTTCCTAGAGTCTCAAAGGAAGTAGGCAAAACCAATTTATGATGCATACCTCAGGCAACTAGCTCACTGCGTCACCATCATCACCAGCAGCATCTTTAACCTTGACTATCCAGCACTGCTGCTCAGGCAGTGGGTGCAGAACAAAATCGGAGGCCAGAGAAAGCTGCTGGCTGCCTGGTGGGGACGAACCCTGCTGAGCAGCCACCTCTTGACACAGCTGCCTGCCTGGGGATTGCTCCCTCCCTGGGGCAAGGGAAGGGCTGCTGGATCTAGCTTAGCTCTCCTCGCCATGCAGCGGCTGAGGGAAGGAGGCAGCTGCTGGTGCAGAGTACAAGCACAGTTTCCCCCCCAGCCTACTACCTACCGCTTCAAATATTCTTGTAGCTGGCAAACCTTGCCTGCTTTGACAGCCATGTGAACTCAGCTGAAGGCCACTTATTTCATTATTTTAGTTATTTTATATGTTACTGTCATTTGCTGTCACTTGCTGACAGTCACTATTTTGGGAGGGTGCAAAAAACATTAAAGAAAGCAAGGGAAAAAAGGAAAGTAGTGATTTTTACCAGTTAATTCAGAAGGACAACTGATACAGCATAACAGGATGAAAACTCAAAAGCAAAAGAGAATCCCCCCTTTAGAGCAAAAGTTTTCTACCTGCCGAATACCAAAGGCTTCTTCTGATCTCTGGAGGCAAAGAGCATTTCTTCCCAAAGGAAATATCGGGAAAAAATTCTAGATGATGAATGACTGCTCCAGGTCGAAAAAGGCCTCCCAGGAACAAAGAGGCCAACACTAATATAAATAATGAAAGCAAAAATGAGGCTTTGCTTCATTGACTTCTCTTTCCAGCCCAGTGGTATCAATGCTAAAATCAGACCATGAGGTCTAGAAAGAGTAAATCCCAGTGCTACTGCTATGGTCTGAAAATGTCTCGAAGGCTTTAATAACTGATGTTATATTGGGTCGACTATACAAGTTTCATCTTATAATACAACGCACGCTACTTTTTACTGCCTTCTGTTTCAGGATTCGGTCAGAGTCATTGGACAGGCTTGTGGTTATAGACCTGAATTAGGTCTGAAGGAACAGGCTCTGCTCCGCATACTTCCTTGTGTGGTCTCTGGCGAGTCACTTAATTTCTCTGAATTTCAGTCCCTGATTGCACAGTGAGATTTGGCAATTATACTTTTTTCAGGGCATCCACCCATTATACACCTTGCATGGTTAGACTGAATTATCCAGTGCAGGGATTCTCTTCTGCCAGCTGTATTTGTAGGTTATGATGTGGCTCACAATCTTGGTTGAGACTACTAGATGACAGTGGGTTATCAGCACTGAAAAATACCAACTTCAGAATCAGTTTGCTGAATAGACATCCTGCCCAAGGAAACCACACAGCCTGAGCTCAGGGAAGGCAGCCAAAGCCATGCACCAAAGTGAAGCCCTTTCTTACTTCAAGGCTGCACCACTTCAGCCCTAACCTTCCTGGATGCATTTGTCATTAGAGTACTCTACTAAGATGTACCATGACATCTGGGAAAAAAGTGTTCTGTCCTGCAAATAAGGCTTTGGTAGAAACTATCCTGCCCACAGGAGACAGGCACAGGCTGGAAAGGTGTCTGCACAACTACAGAGAAGTCCATGAGGTCTGCTGCTGCTGCTGGTGCTCTCCCCTGGACACTGCAGGCTTCTGCCTCTGAAGGACCCATCTGATGGACATGGAACGCCTCCCTCCAGGTTTTCATCACCTCCACCGTTGAAATAAAACACTGCTGCTGTGTAGCAAAGGCTGATGAGGGAAACTGTAGGCTTTTACGTTTATGTTTTTTGTTCCCTTCACTTTGTTTGCAGGACACAGAATGGAAAGCAAGAAGAAGTAACAGATGTATTACAGGAATCACTGACCTACATACAGTAACACAAGCTTGCACCATCAAAAAACCTCTTCTTTAATATCCATTAGTTAAACTGCTAGACTGTATTTTGATATTATGTGGTGTGCCCTACTTCAGCTGCTGTTGGGACTAAAATAAATTTTTTACATAAAGAATTCATATGAATGGGCACCTTGGTTCAGACTCTACCCCATTAGTTATACTAACCTGATCTGTGGGTGTGTAGTCATCCATGCTGACGCTGTCAATTCTTTCTAAAAAGCTAGAAGAAAAATAAACATGAATTAGATATGTAAAATACTGTATCGTGTAACACTTTTCACTACCTTTTCTGGTTTAGACTCCTACTGCAAAGTAAAACACAAGTCCAATGGCAAAGGTATGAGCCTGATGATTTATTTACATTGACTGAGGTTACATTTTCCGAGCCAAACAACTTTTTATCCAGACTTTGTTTCAATAAAGTCCTTCTACAGTTATGGTTATACGGTACCCAGAGGTGGTCCAAATGCAGCTAAATGATGCAATTTTGTGAGGTCCACTAAAAAAATACTAAGACTAACCATGTGTCATATGGTTGTTTAGACAGAAAAAATATTTTGGGGTTTGAAAAACAAAATGGGGCAAACGGTTGCCTTTGTTTAGCATGATGCTAATCTGGCATAATGTTATGTTAATTGTGGGCTCAGTAACCTTAGCAGAAACGCTTGTTAATATATACAGATAGCTTTGGACTGACATGCTGCCCTCAAACACTGCAACTAAAGCATCAGAAGTGGAAAGCAAAATTGACATGAAGTAGGGGTTAATTAACCCAACTCTTTACATTGACAAAACTCAGTGAGATGCGTAAGGTGAAACAAAGACTTAGAACAGGTTGCCCAGGGAAGCTGTGGATGTCCCCTCCCTGGAAGTGTTCAAGGCCAGGCTGGATGAGGCTTTGAGCAACCTGGTCTAGTGGAAGGTGTCCCTGCTCATGGCAGGGGGTTGGAACTAGATGATCTTTAAGGTCCCTTCCAAACCTAACCATCCTATGATTCTATAACTGCAGGGAAGGGCAAGAGAAAAGGCAACCAGAAAAAAAAGAGGAAACCACATTCTCCAATTATTGAAATAACCTTTTCAAGCTTTAATTCTTTCCTAGAACATGCTAGAATGGCAGTATTGAGGACACAAAAATGTGATTTTATATGTATAGCTAAAATAGACAGGTTATCCTCTCTCACTTTCACCCATTTATTTGATTTTGTGTGAGCACAGCTGGCTCTTTTTCCCTGGACTGTCTGTACGACTTAGCAGCTTTCTTGAATTTCTGCACTGTTATTTGGTATTTGGCAGTGAATATCCCACCAGCTGACTCATCCTGCTACAATATTATCAAGATTTCTTTATCAACCAGCAAGTTTTCCCAATTTTACTTGGGTGTGCATGTGGAATCTAATTAACAGCAGTGGGAAAGACAAAAAAACAGTGAACTCTTGACTTGCAACGTGACTCACTCAACACAAGGGTCACACACACTGACCAGTTGAAAAAATACCCCCCCTAAAAGCCTGTTTGTAATTCTCATAGCGCTTTCCCACGGATGTGAACTGAAAGGAAAAGAAAATACGCTATGTATATATTTACTTATACTATTTTTCCTTTTTTGAACCTCCACTGTTAGAACAGAGAAACAAAATGCAGGAACTACAGCTAGAATATCCAGCTTTTCTTTCTGCATGATCAAGGTGTGATGGCTAAGCATACTGTTTAAAAAAATTGCTGTTTAGTGCAACACGGTGGGTGTCTGATAACAAAACTATCTTGAACAAACTCTAAAGAAAAATCACCTTTTTACAAAACTTCCTTCCCCACCAAAAGCCATCATAAACTTGCATAAAGACATAAAAGTACATCTTTATAGTCAGCTACAGTCACCATGAGAAAGCAGCTGTATTCAGACCAAACTTTTGGTCAGATGATTTTCATCACCTTGAGAATATTGGTTAAGCAAAGTTTAACTTCAGTTATCCCTGCAGGTAACGCAGACACTGGAGCAGAGGGATGTATTTTTAACTGGCGCACCTATTGTTATCACAACTCTCACCTCACACCTCCGGCACACGAGATGAAAAAAGAAGGCAAAAAAGCCCAAACTAAAAATGCCTCCAAGCTGAATCTCTTCCTAAATGAGGAATCATTTTCCTTAATACGGCTGTTCAGGCAGCACTCCTGTATTTCTGAATCAGTTTCACAGCTTCTGTCTAGTTTCTTTACAGTTTGATCCGACAGGCCCAGTTAACAGCCTCTATTCATCAGGGTAAAAGGTTAGCAGAGGGGTAAATCCAGGTCCCTGAGCGCAGTAAGGTGACAATGCCAGCAGGTTAAACAAGCCTGCAGAAAAGGGGCAGGGGCCTGAGGGAGAGCTAACAAACTGCCGTGGGCAGCACAATCGCTTGCACAGCTCAGGAACAATCAATGCAACCGAAGCCAGGGGAGAAAATGCTCCTCCACTACGGCTGACACGGAAAAGGGCTCTGGTTGAGTGTGGACAGAAGCGAGTGTTTGTGCACAAATACAACTCCATCACAAACCTCACAAGACAGTGTGAATCAGTGTTTTTCTTGCAGAAGCATTCCTTCTGGAGTTGATGTATAAATCAGAGACAATACATCTTCACCCTCCAATACCAAGGGTACCTTGGCAGAATTTATCCAAAATGATTAAGCACTGGTATTTCGTACCAATTCACATCTCTCTCACCTATACATCAGGCACTTCAGGAAGGTTATTGGTTGTTAGTGTTTGCATTTTGCAAACAGGAAAATTACGATAAGGACCAGAGGAGTGAGTAATGCAGTGTTACACTACAAATAATCCATGGCAGGGTAGGGAACGAGATAAGTCTCCTAATTACATGTCCTGTGTATCAGCCCGAGTCATCTTCTGTTTAGAAACTGTCAGCCTCCTCCTGGTAAAAGGATCCATTTCAAACACCCTTAACTGCAACACTGCAGTTAACAGAGTGAGCTCTGACAAATATCACGCGCTTCAAAAATGTCACTTGACATAGCAGCTGTAATTTTCTATGCTTCTAAGGTTGCTGGCCACATGTGATCTATATTAAAATAAATGCAATGATTTACAAGGTTTTACCTGCCACCTCGCTATATCAAGGTGCAATGATATCACCAGCATCCAATAAGTCAACATGCAACTACTATTAGGATTCAGCCTAACTTTGTAGCTTTAAGGAAAATAAACCTTTTCAGGGTATGATGGACAGGCTTCATAAGATTTCTTTTGCAACTACATTAAACGCGCACTGAGATTTCTAGACACTTGAAACACACTAAGTATGCTAACTTCATTCTCACTTTCTCAATTGCTTTCTATTGTTGATTTCTACTAATCCTAAATGCCTCTAAGAATTATGTTCTGGCATAATACACGTTCTTTTATACATATACCTACACACCAGCAAATTTCAAACTTACATGACTAAAATTTCAACTTAAAGGGCTCGAAGTATGAAGATACCTCCTAACTGTGGCAATGCTCATGTCTCTACTCAAAAAATCAGTGTGAGGAAAACACAATACCAAAAAATGAATAAAAATGGACACCAGTATCACTTATTCTCTCTTTTTAGATGCTGTTTTTTTCAGCTCAGGGATAAAATTATTTTCACAGAATTATGCCTTTTTACAATACTGACACATCTTCTATTTATGGAGCTTCTATAGAAACCCATACTCAGAATTTATTTTAATTCTGCAGTAACTGTTTTGCATGCATGTGCAATGAACTTTAAATTCACGCGTTCAACTCAACTGTGAATAAAACTAGAACATATGATATAATATTTATATTTCTACTTCAGAATTGTGGTTTTATTTAGAAAAGATTCAGTCTGACAATTAGTACGACATTTAGGTTCTTCTTAATTTTATAGTAGGTTGTTTTACATTTCCTTGCATGGAAAAGCACAAACTACTTTTTTTTTTTTTTTTTAAATACATCAGGCAAGATATTGCAAGGAAGGTCTTCTTTGCTCTGTTTGGAAATGCAGTGGTTTGGTTTGCCAATAAATTAAAGAAAAGAAAGACGGACTGATAAAGTTAAAAAAACCCAATAATGAGCTACTGACATTATTATATCTATTATTAAGCTGATCTGTAGTTTTATAAATATCTTCAGTGAGTTTCCTAGGAAACTCAACTGACACTTAGTTTGACAAGCCATCTCTAAATTTTATATTATGCAAGCTGTGAACACAAAAGTACAGGTTTTAGATGTGCCTGCCAGTGCATGTGGGAACTATCAATAAGTATTATTCCCTTTAAAAGCCACAGCAATTTGAGCAGCAGTAGCAGCTATATAAAAATTTCCGAAAAAAGGATTAATAAATGTGCAAATAAAGAGGAGGTAATCGTACACGAAAATCCTTTTCTCACTGGGTAAATCACTATATAGGTCTGTATAGATATTCTGACCCCACAAACAAAATCACAATTAAAAGAAAAATCATGTCTTGAGAATAATATGATAGACACAAAACCCATGCTGTACTTATAAGTGTATATCGACATCCAAAGAACTGGAAAGACGAAGTGCTAAACTGCAAATCAATATAACAAACTACACATTTTAATAAACCTTTGTCTACTTCAACCATTTTTTTATGCTCTCACCCCAACATTTCAAAGGCTGTGTATCAAAAAGTTGTTGTGGGAAACAAGAAATCAAATGCACGTCAAAATACTTGTCTCTTTAAAAGACAAAGGTAATGTGGCAAATCTTTAACGTTGTACCTTTAAGTTCTCAGAGTGAAGAACCTCAATTTTATCCTCAAATAAGCTCTTGGGGTCAGCAAAGCTTTACGTTTCTGATGGACCATTAAGAGATTTGCAAACTCCTCAGCCAGGCTCAAAAACCAACAGAAGCACCATAATCTACTATCTGAAACCATCCAGGACTTTGAATTCCACCCTCTTTGGACTGCAGTAAGTCACAGGTGAGGCAGACATTTCACAATGAGAACACCTACATCAGGTCTCTAGGGAGCTGAAATGGAAAAAATATCCTTTTTTTTTTTTTTTTTCTATTGCAGTTTTCAGGGACTATCAAGATTTGATTCTTTCTTTCTTTCTTTCTTTCTTTCTTTCTTTCTTTCTTTCTTTCTTTCTTTCTTTCTTTCTTTCTTTCTTTCTTTCTTTCTTTCTTTCTTTCTTTCTTTCTTTCTTTCTTTCTTTCTTTCTTTCTTTCTTTCTTTCTTTC